TATGATCCAGATCAAATTGAGTAATTGGGAAATCACTGAAAAAGGTTTCAGTTTTAAGTTATTATGGGCCAGGACATTTAGTTGCAGAGAGTGTCAGAACATTTAGGGATCTGCAGAAGGAGACAATATGTAGTTACTGGATTCAATATCTATTAGATAAATGTTGGTAGATATGCAACAAGGGTGATATTTAAAATATTTAGCAACTGGTAAGGCAGGAAACCAACCAATTAGAGTAGCTGGTTTATACCAGCTGATTATGAGCCCTACTTTATAATAACCAATAGTAAGCTAAAAGGAGCCTTACATAAGGTTGTTAGCATTATACCCAAATAAATTATTCAAGATCACAGACTGAGCTCCTGTGAAACTTATAAAAGAGCTTACAAGAAAAATTGGGCAGAAATATGTAGAAATCCATCTTTTCTTAAAAAAAGAAATCAAAGTGCATTTGCTTGCATCATCTTTCAAATGATCATTTGAAAACTGAAATCATCCTTATTACTGAAGATATTATGCTGAAAGATAAAGAACATATATGGGTCTTTGATAGCTCCCCTGGCAAGACATCTTGTGTTCAATGTGAAAAAAAACCCAGCATGCTCCATATACAGTTTTATTCTAGCCTACTCTCTGAAATTTGCTAAACAGCTCAGCCTACAACTTTTGCTAGGGGAAATCTTGAAGTTCTGATTGACCTTATAAAGTACTTTTATTCATTCGAGCTTTGTTACTACTCTATAATTGGAGCTTTTTACCTACAGGTTCTTGTTTTCCGAGTTTGAATTGTAAAAAGTAAATTTCAACTGGTAACTATATGACTCAGGTAGTTTACTAATTTAAATTTAACAGAGACTAAATTACTATAGAAATTAATCTTGATTGATGTTTTCAATTAAATGGATCATAACCGTAACAAAATAAAGCAGTCCAATTAATTTTTTGGTTCATCACTACTCCCAAAATGCAGTTTGGCATAGTAGTTAAGCACACAGCCCTTGAAAGCAGGGGCTGGCATAGAGCACTGGCCCAACCTGGCCTGAAGCTTGTTTGTGTAAATAAAGTTCTACTGAAACACACAAAAAACATCATTTTTATTTTTTAATCGCCTATGGCTACTTTCCCATCAGAAAGGGCAGAATTAAGTAGTTACCACAGAGAACACATCGCATGCAAAGCATGATTATTCACTAGCCCTTTAGGAAAAGTGGTGACCGCTGCTCAGTCCTGGCTGCCTGATTTCAAAACCTAGGCCTGCCATTTTCTAACTTTGTGACCTTCGGCTAACCTTGGATTAACCCCTGGTTACTGGACTGCACACTGTGAGAATTATATGAATTATTCTTTGTGAATTATTCATATCAGTGTTTAGCAATTAGGAAACACTTTGTAGCTGCTAGTGACTTAACACTACCACCACATCGTCCTTTTAATACTGTTATTGTAACTAATTTTAAGAAATATGCTTATGATATCTGGTTATTAAATATAATCAGTTATTTATGATTCTTAAATATATTTTCAGTTCAAATTATGTATTGCTTTTACTTGAAGGCTATTTGGCTTACCTTTAACAATAAAATATGAAAACATTACATGTCTGATATATCATGGAACATAACTACCCTTGGGAATTGTAAATATCTTCCAATTCCAAAGCAAGTTCTAGTGTACTATCTGTTCAGACAGTTGTGAGCCAGAGGTGATCTAAAAAGTATAACATAATGTGAAGTGGTC